TATATATATTAAAAAAGTTGAAGGGCTAATATATTAAAGAAGGAAAGGTACAGATAGGTTGTATGAGATGACCTAAAAGAAGACCCAACTCACACAATACAGCACACACAAGAACCCAAAAAAGCAAAGTAATATAAAGATCAAAAATAAAAAATCCACCAACAGGCGCAAAGGTGCTAGGGACGTCCCACTTTAGTTATTCCTCTACCTCTAGTTTTCGGAAGGGAGCCAGCTAACAAATTGGTAAGGCGCGTACCATTACTCACTGTACTCAATGTAACCAAAATATCATCCATCAGATTTCTGAGTTTAAGTATGTCTCCATTCTTTTTCTTTCTCTTGGATGTGTAGACCTGCCATTTCTCATCCAAGGGTTGACTCATTTGATCAATGGATTGGTCCAAAGGTGGTCGGACAAGTGTATGTCGTTGCACATCATGATCCCTCTGAGTCTGAGTAGCATTGACATCTTCTTTCTGGACCTTCTTTCTGGACCTGATGAGGCAATAGTGAAGCAACAGAGGTATTTTCGCCTGTAATATTAGTGATGGGTTCTAGAGCAGACGGAGTCTGAAAAATCTCCCTCGCCTCCACGATAGGAGATTCTAAAGATGGGGGAGCTACAACAATGTGTGGAGACTGAATAATTGATATATTTTCTGCAGGAATAATGACGTCTTCAGGTGTATTCTTTTGATGATCAATAGTGTCAATAACTTGGAGTTGATCAGGAGGAGTTGGAATCACTGCCTCTAATGAAGCACTTTATTTATTTGGTCTGAGGTGGGGATCTAGATGATGACATTAAGAACTGGAGTGCCCGAACATATGACAGTTTGAATAATACGAAGGAAAAGACTCCATATCTACCTTCTGTCAATATCCATGATGCTGTGTGCCCAATCAAATTTCCTCAGAAGCGAAAGAAGTAATGTCTCTTTCGACAAGCACTCTGACTTTAGATGGACGGGAAAGATTAAAAGTAAGAATGTCCGTCTTGATGACTTTCCATAAGCTAAGGCAATAAAGTACAATGCTGTTTTCATAAAAAGTAATGAAATTTCAGACCAGGAAGGCAAATCCAAACCGGAATGATTGGCGGTTCCGTCTGTGGGTCAAAATTCACAGACCATTTCAGAATCTTCATTATTCTGTCATTAATCTAAATTATCCTTCTTGCAAAAAAGCGTGTGTAATCTTCTTCATTATCAATTTGAATAAGAATGTGTCTATCATCTAATAGTACAATTTTTCACTCCTCAACAAAGTACACAAGTTCAATTTTTTTTGCGAATAAGCTCCATTTTGGGATGATCATATAAAAATTTTCTAACCAAATTCAGACAATAGGAGAAAGCAAGTTGAATACCTTAAGCTTCTGTAAAAAAAATGGCAGACTTCTCATTCTTCCTACCAGGTTTCTTGATCTCCTCCTTCCACTCAAACAAATGAGGGAAAGTTAGATGTACTAAGGTGTGGACACCCATGAGGGCAGCTGCATGCGATCTGTCTGAAGCTATCCTCAAAATAAAGGTGTGGCTTTAAGAAGAAAACACGGGAAAAGTGGCGTCTACCGAAGCTGAAAAGGAGAACACGCTCCCGGAGCCGTAGAACCAAGACAGGAAGATGCCGCGAGACAGGAAGGAGTCGTGATATGGGAAATTCATGAGACGGGAGCTGCAGAACTCGCGAGACCGGAAGAAAGCCGCAGAGGCACCCGCGAGACGGGAAAGCCGCAGAGAGCTGCATCGCAGAGGAGCCGCATAGCCGAGAACTCTCGAGCCAGGAAAGCTCGCGAGACGAGAAGGCCGCGTTGCAGATCGCGAGACGCAGGGAGACGAAAAAGAAATCAGGTGCGAAGCGCGTCGCCGAAGAAGAAGTAGCGAAGCCGTAATAGTTGCTAGGGTTCTCTATCAGGCGAAACCCTAACAGAGCCGAGCAGGAAGGAAGACGAAGCCATTATATATATATATATAAAGGA